ACAGGACTGGCATATATATATCATTATATATCTATCATCCAAGATATCATCAATAGAATTATATACTGTAGATAGATAGATCTGAAGAGAGAGAGAGAGAGAGACCAGAGAGACACTGTTGTATATATATATATATATATACGTGTGTGTGCGTGTGTGAGTGTGTGCGCCTACATCGACCCCCGTTTCAACCACCCCGTTTGGCGCACCCCGCTTCGCTCACGAGACCTAGTGAAACACACCGTGGCGCATCATTCAGCACGAAGGGCCGGTGGTTTCAGAGATGGCACTGGCACCCCGACATGTCTTTTACATGGGAGTCCATATGTCCATATAAACCAGCATTTAAGGGTCTCCCTTGTGCCATCTACTCTGAAACCACTTCTTAAGCGCTGAAAATTGCTCAAGAACCTCTGAGCATTTGCACGGCGTGTGACGACTGGACTACCACCGGTCACCGAACGGCGTGCCGTGCGCAGGGCAGCGTGAAGGGTCCGAAGGCGCCGTTGGTCGGATCCGGAAAGCCAGGTTCTCGCACGATGTCAGCCGCTGTAGAGCGTCCCATGCCTTAGGCCTTAGGCATCGCCGTGTGAAAAATTACCTAGGCAAGTGCAAACTGGATATGTTTTTGCTCATGGGCTTAAAAACCGCGCGTGTAGTGAAACTGATTTTTCATACAGTCCTTTGGGGGGGCAAGAACACACACAAACACACGCATTGGAATATGGAAGATGGGGACACGGGGGGTGGGGTTAGGGGGGAGGGGGGGTTGGGTGGGGGGCTAGTGATGTTCATGTTGTGTGCTTTTTCATTAGGAAGCCACACACGCACACGCTGTGGAAGAGGGTGGGGGTGAGGGGTAGGTTCCCCAAAGTGGCAGTATGTGGCAGTGAAGTACACTGGACTTGATCGAAAGCACCAAGTAAGACCCTATCTCACGTTCAAGTGCGCGAGCGACGACGCGCCTTTTTCTCTGGACCTGATCGAAAACACCGCTGGAGGATGAACAAACGCGCATTTTTTGGCACGAAACCACAGTCTCGTAGCATTTTGATGTCAAAATCGCAACGATTTTTGAGTTGTTTTCTTGTACTACATGCTCAACAAACCTTTCACATCAATGCAAAACACAGCCACACAACGGACATTCGTCATCATTGACCACGTGATGATTTGACAAATGTCTTCAACCGCACACACGGAAACGAGCCCGGCGGGATGTTTTTGTTTTCATAAGTTTTCAGTTCGAGTTTGCTCAAGAGCATCTCTCAGAATTGGTGGAAATCATTTACTGCAGTCAATGATAGTGCCAAGCAGGGGGGCCCGAGGGGTACAAATCAAGATCCAATTTCTACAGCCAACAATTAAGATAGACATTTATCCTCAACATGGGCCACGATGATGATTGTTACAGCATCCTTCATGCAAAAAGGTTGTTTTGGGTGCCATGTTTCGTTTACATGGGCTTGGGTGTGTTTTTTCCTTTAACAAGGATCCCCCCAAGGAGTGTGATAGATATAATATTCAAAGAGCAAAAACTAGGTGAACAGTGGTGTGCATGTTTCTTTGTGTTGCTGCCTTCTCGCCCAAGGTGACCAACGTGCTGCGGGACCGGGTTTGGGTCAACATCGGTGCTGCCGCTCGGTGGAGTCGCATCCTTTGGCCCAGCTAGGTGTTGCCAGGCATCTACGGGTTTGCGACAGGTTAATCAAGATTTACCGATTGGATACACCGGTTGGATGGATCTACCGATATTACCAGTTCAAGGAACCCACGTGTATCCAGAGGTTTGGGAGGAATTGGTGGTGCCCCTTTCGTTCGGATCTGCCGATTCGGACATTGGACTCGCACTCGAAAGTCGGACATTGGACGACGACCACTTCAGCTAGTGCAGAATCGTTGGGCGAGTGATGTTGGATGTCCCCTTCTTGGACGTAACACGTTTGATAAACTCCTTCCAGGTGTTAAAGACTTGCCCCCCCTGGTTCATGCAGTGCCATGTGTGCGAACACGAGAGCCTGAGCCACAGAACACACCATCGCCAATTGCAATAATGACGGTTTAAAGATGTTTAAAGCCTTACTGTTTTGGACACTCCAACATGTTCCTAATAGGATTAATAGGCCAAGCTCCAGTGCTCCTAAGTAGCCCAGAGTAATCCTTTTGTGAGGCGACACGTTTTTTCTTTTTAAATGAGAAATCCACTTAAAGTGGTTTAGGTTGTGGGTCTTTCATCAACTATTGAGGATGGTCAAAACTTCAAGCTTTTGCGGTTTACGGGGACGGAGATGGACGGATTGGTTTAGATTTAGATCGTCGCAGTAGTTCCCAGTGAAGTGAAGATGTGGCCCCCTACCAGCTTTCCACGCCGGCAACACTTTCCCAAAAAGGAACTTCGTCAAACACATCTCCACACCCACCTTTCTCGCCCCACCTTTCTCTCTCGACTTGCTTGTGTTCCTCACCTTTTCGACCGGGCGTTTCGGACTGTCGGGTCACCGGGTGTCGCGCCGGAACCGGAACCGAAAACCGGTTCCGTCCGAAGCGGCGCGATCTGCAGGAGGCGGACGTGACCTTCACGAAGCCGAAGGAGGAGAAGCTTCGCGTGGGGGACACGGTGACGGGGACGATCGTGGAGATCGATCTCAAGCGTCGCATCAACAACGTGAAGAAGGCGGGTGTGGTCGGGGTGTCGGTGTAGGTCGGTCGCTGTGTTTGTGTGAATTGTTGGAGAGGTTTAATGGAAGTTCAATGAGAATATGTGTATGTTTCCTGGTGTGTAGTAATGTGTGTTATTGTTGGTTCTTGGATGCTCCTGGCTTATATAGGTTGTCATCGGTACTAGACTATAGCTTTTGCAGTGCCCATTGCTTGAGGTAGGGTTTGGGTGATAGTTACCAATGGTGTTTCTAACTTGGGTGTTTTCTCCGAATTTCCTCCCTCAAAAAGAAGTGTAGCACCTTCAGCTGTCCCATCACAATATGTTCAAGAACTTCTGTGTTACTTCCACTCGAAGTAACCTTTGGTGCTCGAACTGGCTCGGAGGTCCGCAAGAATGAGACAGGACTATTTATATAGTGTTTCTGGATATGAAAGTCATTAGTGAACTTACAGTAAGTCAGTAAGGTATAGATCATATACCAAGAACTAGTGTTCACTAATACCTAACAGCTGCTAACAGATAGCAAATCCTAAATCGTCCGTGTTTTTTCCCCATGCTCTTATTGTAGTTCCCTACAAACTGTTCAAGGGTCGTTTTTCGGGGCAGGAATTGGTCTGCGGATTCCAGAGTGCCGGATCACCTTCGATATCTTCAACAGAAACGGCAGCAATTTTATATGGTGAACATTGGGCGAAATATAGATCATGAATCATGAGTGTTTGCAAATGTTCCTGATTCATGTGTTACTTTTTTTTGGTGTGTGTGTGTTATTGTATGTGTGTGTCTCTCTCTCTCTCCATGTTGTTAGATTGGTAAAGTATACGTAGACCTGATCTCCAAATACCCGGCCTCAACATGTTATACATGTGTTTAAATGTGTTTAATAGGCTATTGTCAGAGGAACAACTCCACTTCACCTTCCCTGAAGTTCCTATCTTCGCAACGCTTTTCAGCACCAGTGAGTGCCTTTCCCAGCCTATGGTGGAACCACAAGTTTGTCCCGGTTTCGCGGGGTCTTTACTGCACTCACCGAGGAGATTGTGCGCATCAAGCGGTTAGAAGGCTGAATGGCTGCAGGGTGTCTCCGAAGATGCGTGGATGTGGGTCAAAATCCTCTGTCGAATCATGATACAATCTATTTAGACCCATATCGCCATTTACCCCTGAACATTTCCCCACAGCTCACCTCCCCAAAAGGCTCTTTTGCAGATTCACTGATGTTGGTGATTGCTTTCCTGGAGTCTCTCAGATTCACACCCCCCCAAGGGCTTTCACCAGGGTTAAGCAAGGCTTTCCCTTTTGTACGTCGGGGTTGCTGATTCAGACGTGCGGGTGGGAGCCTCGGTGGGAGCCATTCTTAGGCCAGACGAGATGTATTGGGAGCAGCTCCTTTTTACTGGCCTAAGAATGACTCACAGTAGGTGACGATGGCAGATCCTGCAGGCGTCATCTATGCATTAGTCATTATACCCATTCCTGTGACAAGTGTTTGCCCCACAGCCACTTGAGCACGGCCAGAAAGAAGCTTTTTCTCATGCGATCTCTTGCTTCACATGGCTGCGAAACCGCAGCCAGGATCGAACATCTCATAGATTCGACGAAAAGAAGCAGCTGCGATGAGCTCCCATGCAGGATCCTACCACTCAGAGACTCGTTGCGAGCTCGATCATACATCCCTGGCCATCTTTGCGCTATGACAGTTTTCTCCGCTAGAAGTGGGTTGGGGCATCCAAAAGGCCAAGGGCAAAACGGGGCCTGACCAGGCCTGCCTGTTTGCTGTTTACCAGGCTGTGCGGCCATCGGACGGGTCGTCCCATAGAAATGGGAAACTGTGAATAGCTAGTTTGACATCTCATCCGGGAGCAGTGCAATGTATGATTTGCAAAGTTGCATTTGCTAAAAAACTGTTTCGGGGCTCTCCACTTCGAATCCTTGAGAGCCATAGATGGATTTGAAGCTACTAAGCTAGCATTCTAAATTCTTGCGGTACAGGTTCCAGTGATACAGGAGGCTAATAGAAGCCCTGAACATCTCACACAGAATAGAAGCCCGAACCATTTTCCCATCCAACTCGCAAACTAGATTGGTCGGCGACCAAGGCGCCAACCGTCGTAGCATCAGTATGTTGGAACATAGTTGGGTAGACCCCTCATTCTGAGATGGAGCAATCACTTGGCCACGTGCTTGGAAGTGCATTAATATCCTATAAGATCTGAAGCCATGTTTTGGTTGCTTTTTCTCTTATGCTCCGTGGGCGCAAGCCAGTGGGAATCCGTCAGCTTTGATCTCGCCAAGTTCCAGTCGTTGCTGACCTCCAAGGCTTTGTGTCCCAACCACGATGGATTTGGCCAAACGTGAGCTGCGGGAGACGGGGCCGCATGGCACCGTAATCTTGGCGGAGGAAATGACCTCTGGACGTGGGAGATCTGGTGCGAAGTGGGTCTCTCCAGATGAGGGAAATCTTTACTTGACTCTTCTTCTCCGTGCTGCAGGGTCAGGGTCATTGAATCAGGATAGGCGTGTACAAGTGAACTTGGCAACTCCCTTGGCAGTGGCGGGAGGTATTGCAGAGCTTGTCCCCAATTTGCAGCCGAAGCTCCGCTGGCCTTTGACGGTGGAAGTGGGTGGCCGCAAAGTTTCTGGGGCACTCATTGAGATACACAATCAGGATGGCTTGGAACACTTTGCCGTAGGGGTTGGAATTAATGTCAATGCAGATTTTTGCAACAACCAGTCTTTCTCTCAGGCTGTCACAAGTTTGCGCTGCGCAGCACAGACTGTCATGGATCGGGAGCTTCTTTTGGCGAAGATTTGCGACAATTTGGAAGAACATATATCCACGCCTTCTGTACATGAGTTGAAGCAGAGGTATTTGGCCTGGCCTTCAGATACTTCTATCGGCAGTGCGGTGTCCCTCCTCAACAAAACAAGTAAGGATTTGATCCTGGATGGGGTGGTCACTGGCTTGACCAACTCTTTGGCCTTGGTGGTCCAAGCCTCCAATGGAAGCAACATTGAGGTCTTGGGTACTGGATCGATCACGGTCTTTCCGCAGGGGCATCTTTACAAGACCGAGTTGTAACGGTCTGTAAAGAGTGGTGGCCAGAGAGAAACAGGCCAGCGAACCGAGTGCGGATGGACATGGATCGGTGGAAGCGCAGCAGACGTTGCATGCTTTGCTTTTCAAGAATTGAAGGAGCAGAAGGGGGGAGTAATGGGGAGTATTTGAGTTTTACATGTCCATTCTATCCATTTCTATCCTAAATTTGGGAGGGGTTTGCGACATGAAGCTTCCCGGTCTTGGATCCCAGAAGCCCTGTTTGGAAGGTGTTGCCGAGTTCTATAAGTGTTGCGTGAATGATGGTGACAAGGCCCACTCCCTGTGGTTGTTCCCGATGAGATGTTGTTTGCTTGTTGTTTTGCTGGTTCGGACGTTCGAGCGCAGCAACACAAGCAAAAAACGTCCAACACCAGGGGTTGTGGCCCTGAAAATTCGTTTGACCATGTTTGGTTCTTCTGAAAGTTACGGCTGTTGTGGCTGTGGTTTGGTTTGACCATGTTTGACCATGTTTGGTTTGACTGTTGTGGCTGTGGCCCTGAAAGTTACGGAGTTTCAGTTTGGCCTACCCCCTCGATCCCGCCAAGGAAAGCGTTCACAGCACCGGTGCTGCCAGCGGAGCAGCCACAAGTTTCGCCGCCGGTGTCCTTGGCTGTGGAAACAGGTCGCCCGGTTCGGGGTCAATGGCGGCAGGGAGTTTGCTTTGTTTAATCTGTTGATGCTTTTTTAATGCTTCAGCGCAGTCAAGAAGGGTTTGTTTGGCGTGGTCAATGTCTGAGAGGTTTGAGTTTGCATGGCTCGATGTGTAGAGACTTCGCATTCAGAGTCGGAGGCTATGAAGTCATACAGCATGGTTCCCGCGGAGTTGCGTTTCGTGCCGAAATGGGTATAAAGGGTTTTGGGCAGCCTTCAGATAATCATGGGAGTGTAAAGAGGCTGGAATACGGCCCACTAGAAGACTTTTAGCAATGTGCCAACTAAGCCACCACCTTCTATCAAGCGTTGTCGGTTCCCAAAGCGCTTTGGGCGGAAAGAGGACGCGCCACTGGCTGGATTCATGTTATCCGGTTTTGTCAATAGAATGACTATGTCACATAAGTTTGTGTGACTGTGGGGGCCATGGGCCTGTGAAAGAGCTGTGACTGTGGTTTGTTTGTCATACTACATGTCACGGCAAACAGGAGCCCTGCACCTGAAGTTTGGCCTGTTTGCGCCACAGACCTCGTGAAGAGGTGGAACCTCTTCGCTCTTCACACCCCGTGATCGATCCGATCCGCCCGGCAGGCTCGCCAGCGGAACCCGTCGCTCGTCCGCACGGCGGCGGGGCATTGGCCACACCGGCGGGGGAAACGCAGCAAAGGCCCTGCTCAATGCAGCACAGGATCCATTGACCCTGCTCACCATCCCTGTGGTCGGGGGTGAAAAAGGGCCCTGCTTGGCGGAATGTGTAATGATCAATAGTAGCACCGACACCTGTACACTGCTGTATGCTTGTGGGGTTGGTTTGCCATACCTCAGGCTTTTGGCAAGATGGCCATGACAATCCATCGGAATTTCCGGCGCCTTTGTTCAGTTGATTCGCTGGCCATCCCAGAGATAGAGAAACCTTTGTGTATACATCACTGATCGACTTTCGACTGGGACCAGGGAATGATCTTGTCTCACAGGACACGAGTGAGCACTTGTGCCCTCAATCCCGTGAACCCCCCCCCAACGAGCATGGAAGTGGAACACCCTTCCCCCCTTTAGGTAGAGGAAATGGTCTTCAATATTCTTCAATTAAACAATTCCAAAAAGAAAAACCATGTCCACTTCCATGATTCTTCCAGGGAGTCGGATGTTTCAGAAGTCGGATAGTCCCCGTGGCCGATGGCCATGCCAAAGTTGTCAAGAGACGTTTTTTTTTCCTTCTCCTGCTGCTGCACACTGCTGCACGAGCAGAGTTTGGGAGTGGATTGCGGAGCTAAGAATGGCTGAGTCGAGGAGTCTAGCAACAAATGCTTAAGGCTTAAGTTCAATCATTGATGCAGCTTCTGCTCCGCCACCGGCAGAGCCATGCCGATAGACAAAATGGGTGAGAGAGAGAGAGAGAGTGTGAGTGAGTGAGAGAGAGAGAGAAAAACAAAAAGGAAGAGACCAGGAGCTATCCATCCCTGGTGGAACTCAGGTGGCCACACCCAAGCTCATGGAGTCCGTGCGCGCCTCCTTGAGCAAGGTGCGGGCCGAGTATCTCGGGAGGGACCATCACCTTCCAAGATGTGGGAGGACACCTGGTGTCTTCATAAGTGAAAAGAACAAATGACTCCTCAGTCATTTCTTTGTTGGGTGGAAGGCTGGAGGTACTTTTCCTTTGGTGTTATATTGTGGTGTATATATATATATTATAGACCTGGTGGTGTGCCTGTCCGCCTTTTTATTCAACTAGCTTATTAAATTCAACGAGCTTATTACATGCGCTGTCCATCATTCTTTTGCTTGGAGGCGGAGAGCATGGGCGGCTCCTACGTGCCTTTCGTGCCTTGGACAGGTGTGCAGAACCCAAGAACAACTCCATGGATCAGTAGGCATGACTGGTTTGTGTGCCAAAGGCACCTGGGAAGAGCAGAACTAGACTAGACTTAATTAAGTAAATACATTGGGAGGTCTCACTATTCCAATACAAACCTATTTGCTTTCTATGTTCAACCTGTACCTCGGAATATTTCTGGCAGGGTTGAAAGCTGAAATTAAGGCTCTCAGATGCACTAGGCATGTGGGTTCCGGTATGCAAGGACAGCATGTTTGAGCCATTTTCGCCATCAGAACCTGCCCCAGATGACAACGATTTCGAGTTCGACATGAATTAACTAGCCTATGGGGAACACGATGGAATACGCAGTTATGCGTCGAGGTTCAGCGATATGTTCCTCGAAGCATGCTGCATGCTGCTGCAGGCTTTGTCGACCACACTTGTAGCAGGGCACCTCATGTGGCACAAACACAGGGATCTAAAATTCTCGAAGTGTTGAAGTTTATCCAATTCATTCTGGAGATGGCCCTTCTGATCTAGTTAGATCAGCACCATCAGTGAAGATTTGACAACTCTCTCTCTCTCTCTCTCTTGTGTGTGCACTCTACACTTACCGACGATCTACCTCTTTGGCGCGAGAAGCTGACTCACGCGTTTCCAGAAACCACACGATCACGCGCTTTCTCAACGCACGATCAATGCCCGAGTTTTAAATACTTCAGGCGTTTCAAACGTAAGGCAAAGTGAAAAAAACACCGTAAAGCTTTTGTGGCTGACAACTCGTTCAACGCCAAAACCAGTGTTCTTTCGACGCTTGGCCAGGAATGTGGGCGAACTTGCACGTTCATTGAAAAGGGGTTTCCTGCCTCAAGTCAGGGTGTCAAGTCTCCAATACCGTTGGCCTTTGGCAAAAAAGAATTTGAAATGATGCTAGGGATCCATATCAGGTCCACACAAGGATCGAACGAAAGAACCGAAGACCAAACAGCGACGCAAAAAAGAACACAAAACCGTCCTGACCTCGGGCCTGAGCCTCATGAGCCTCAACTGGGCTGCTTCAGCGAGTTCGATCCAGACAAGTGAACACAGCGTCACCGCAATCCCAGACTGGAGAAGATTGAAGGATGGGAGAGGTGCTTCGAATTTTGGTCCGAGGTGGCTCGAATTCGTGAGAATTCAGGAAACAACGATATCAACATATGAAAAAAAAAGGAAGCACCGAGCAACACATCCAAAAAGAGAGAGAGAGAGAGGTTTTGTTCCAACGGAAAGCACGCACCTGTCCCACGCTATTGCACTGAACCAACGGCCGCGTGCAGCTGGCGCTGTTCAGCAGCAGACCCCTGTGCTGCACCCTGAAGCGAATGGGCTTCTTTAATTTTAGAAGCTTGGACACCGACTGTGATCACAAGAGCTGCAATCTAGATCTGGGGGAGGCAAAAAGACTTGGAAAAAAAGAACGCCCACAGGATATATATATATATACACTATATATTATTGTATATATATATATATATATATGTACAGGTACATATGTTATATTTTATGTATTTATATCTATATCTATATGGCAGTGGCCATGGCACTGGAGGCCCCGTCGAGCACCGAACATGAACCCAAAAACATGAGCCGGTTGGACACGGATGGTTCGTCCGACTCTCTTGCCCGCTTCGCACCTCCAGGTGCCTTGGAACTTGCTGGACCGTCGGTGAGGAAGTGAGGGCCATGTGTCTTCCTCGGTCGGTGAGCGCCGTTGGAAGAGAGAAGAAAGCATGAAAAGGCGGGTGGCCGGCCGCAGCCAGGAGGACAGAACTGCATCTTGGGGCCGGCCAGGAGGGTCTAGGACTCTAGGAGGGCCTAGCAACCTAGCATCATGTAGATAGCATTCTGTCCTCGGGAATGAATGACTGTTTTGTCCAGAGGCTCCAGATTCTAACCTATGCCTATCCCATCCTATCCCCATGCGTTTCAGCATGAGGTCATCAAGTCTGCTTTGGTTTCGCCGGATGGCCATTGGGATGTGCGTCGTCCGTGCAGTCCGTGGAGCAAGCATGGGCAGTGCATGACTGTTTTCCCCTTCTACAAGTGGTCTTGGACGAATCCACCGACTCGCCTAGAATCCTCCGACTCGCCTGCACCAACTCGCCTGCACCATGGCATGATCAATCAGATGTGATTGCATTGCTGATTGGCTCAGGAGGGCATGTGGCAGGCCGTGAATCAAGACATTCACAGATGTTTGGAGAGCTGCAGGACTCAAAGCAACTAACACTGCTGAATCAAAGCCAGTCAATGTACAGAGTGAACAGTCCTAAATCGCCAGAAGAAGTTGCTTTTGCAAAGGCCAAGCTGCCAAGCCAAGTAGCTGGAAAAAGTCCAACCCACTACATTGTTGAAGCACAGCCGATCAATGCCACAGCACAGTCAGTGCGGACCCTGGGCAGGATGAACTGGGATGAATGCCTCGAACATTTGGGTTGTTTGGTATCATTTATGTGACGGGCTGGGCTGGCTTGTTTTTTGAAGCTAAGCCAGAATTCAATTGCAAACAAGCACTGTGCGCGACATGTTTTACACCATGTAAAGAACATAGATTGTTTAGAAGAAACAAGATAACATGCATTAGGATCACTTAGAAAACAGGTGTCAGGAGTGCCCAGCATTCAAAATCACATGCACATACTGTAATTGCATGCTCATCCTTGCGGTTTCTCCTGGACTTGACTTCGTATTGAAATATTGTTTTGGATCGACTCTTGCTGCTTTCAAGTGCTCTTTTGAAGGATTCGGTCAGGTAGAGCTGAAGGCTTACCCGGTTTTTCTTGGTACAGCCTGTCAGCCCATCGGCCTTCGTTGACCCTCCGGGGCCGGTGAGGTCGGAGGGAAGCGTCCGGACGTTCCGTTCGGTCGTACGCAGAGGAGCCCCGATCGTAACTTCATTTAATTGGTGGCTGCATGTTTTGAGGTGCTGAAAGTTGCAGAGGGATGGGCAGCCTTGAAATTCACCAAGAGAGAGAGAGAGAGAGAGAGAGAAAAAAAAAGAAAGACTTCCGAGTGTAAATTGGTGAAGGCTCGATCTACACCAGGATAAAGTGGTGGTTAGGTGGTTGTGTACCAGCTGTTGGGGTGGATTGGTGGCAAAAAACACTCCAACATCGCTACCGACACCAACCACCGCCGCCACTGACCACGCCGGAGCTCAAGAGGGCCGCGCTGCGCGGGGCTTTGGGCCGCGCGCGCGGCCGCGCGCGGGGCCTTTGCGGCATTTGCGTGTCGTGGAGGCGCATGAGCCTGTTGGGATGCCAATGAGTCTGTTCAGGAAACCTTGAGTGGCATCATTGGTGTATTGGTATGTATTGGTGATGTCAAAGTGGAATATTCCTTTCAAGAACATTGTCCATGGCATGAACAAGGGTTCTTATATGATCTTATACTGCATACTCAATCATTTGAAACCGTGTGCCGAGCATGCCCTTTTTTCCCAAATGCTTGCTTCGCTTTCATGACTGACTGGAGAAGGTGTTTATTCGCAGCACTTGACGAGATGTACTGCAACGGTGCAGACTTCGTGACATCGTGTGTTTGTAAACGTTAAACTTGCATGACACATTCACATCGGAAAGCAGCGCGCGTTGGGGACGTACTTCTTCAGGTTCTTCAAACACCTCGGGTTGTAGCTTCTGGCCCCGCCATCCACCGAGTGTATGCCTGGTTTCGCTTCACACTCGTTCGGGAGTCAGGATCCGATCTCCCCAGCCGAACGTGCGTGGCGCTGGAAAGCGCAGCCCTAGCCCTGGAGCTTTGCGAACGGGCAGGTCATGGTGAACATGCAGATGTTCTGTAGCAGCCCGGATCTCACCACCCCGCATGGGGGAGCTCCATTCCAGGGCTGGCGGAAAGGCGGGGTTTGCTTTGGTCTGCTTTTTGAAGGTCGTTTTTTTGGTTGGGTGGCGTCATTCACGGGACCTAGAGTGGGCAAGCTTTAGTTGTTTAGTGCCATGTGGATATGCCAGAAGTTTGCGCTTGGTCCAAGCAGACATACAATGTATGTTTCATAAATACGACCGATGCGACCAACGCGACGATGTGATGTATATGCGCGTGACCTGGCTGTATTGCCTTGGAATCACTGATCTCGGCCTTTTTGCCGGGATAACTACGAGAGTCGGCCTGGATCACTGGCTTTCCCCAGCGCCTGAAGCGTGGCTTCAGCCGAGAGTATGGCATTTTGAGGTTGTGTTTGTTCTTTGATTTTCTATGCATCTTAGTTTCACAACTATCCAGCCTAGCGGCCTGTCCTCCAAATGTCCTATAGTTAGTTGGGTACTTTTGTTACTATAGGCGTTGATATCCTCTTCCAAGGTTCATCACAAAAATTGGCAAACTTTGTAGGCAGGGGGACGTGAAGGCCAAATTTTGTTCTTTGAGGGCGCTTAATTCGTGCCATCTTCCATACTGATTAGTAGTGGGAAGAACTAGTGATCAAGCTAAGCTCGCAGGCTTTGGATTTGGCCACAGTAAAGGTCCAGGAGGATACGTCCGACGCCCCAGCACTGTGTTCGTCACGGATGCAGAAAGAGAACCTGAACATGTCCAACTGAGCATGGGAGCATGGCCTGAATTCTTGTCGCTTTGGGGCCTTTTTCAAGACCACGTAGAGTGGTAGTATCTCTCCACTAAAGCACCACAAGTGGGATCTAAAATGATCCTTGACATCCTTCGCACTGCAACGCACCGGCCATCGTCCGCTACCCACCATTGTCCTGGCCGTCCTGAGATGCATGATCCTTCGATGGTGATCCAGCTGCGCTGCAGCCCCAAGGAGGACCGCTGCCTCGCCAGTAGTGTCGACCTCAGGCGGCGCAGTTAGACAAGTTAGGCCACTAGAAAAGCACCAGCTGCATCCAGCTGCCATATAAATTACGTATATACATCCCCGGTTGGTGGTCATATTCAAAAGGGGGTACCCTGGCCCCCCTGAAATAGTGACGATCACTATAGTATAATAGTGACAGCCAACCTTGGCTGCTGCAAATGGATGTAAAACAGGGGATGGGCTCCATCAATTTTATTGAAGCAGATTGGGGTTGATTTTGAGGTTGGCCCTACAACACTTTATCTTGCACGTGGGTTGGATGCTGCTCATTGTATTTCACTGCAAGAGATTTCTGTATTATCTTGTATTGTTATTGTGCCTTTTGTTTGTCTTGCTGGGTGTGTGTACTAATGTGGTGGTAGCTAAGGGTGGAGAAATCAAGATAAAATCAAAGTCATAAATAGTTGAAATCTGATTCTAGGGTTGGCCCCCCATCAATTGCATCTAAGGTGAACTCCTGCTATTGTGGTTGTGTGTGTGGGCTATTGTGGTGGTAGCTAAGGGTGAAGACATAAAGATTAGATGAAGTGCATGTTTGCCTAA